GGGGGGGGGGGGGGGGGGAAGCCGGCTCGGGCTGGCCAGGACTACAACCGGGTGACGAGCTGAGAAGCTGCGCTGCCCCCTCACCCCACACCTGCTCGCGCCCGCCGGGCCCACCCTCGGGCCCAGTGCCCGGAGGGCAGCCCCGTGCTCGAGGGCCGGTTCTAGCCCGCCTCGGTCTGCCCCAAGCAAGGATACGAAGTACACGGAGAGGAAGATGAGCGCGCAACAGTCGATGAGAGACAAGAGGAACACCATCGCCTCCATCCTCTGCCGCCGCTCGGCCCGTCAAACCAGTTTAGGGCCCCGCCGCCCGGATCGGCTGCATGCCGGGAGTTATGGTCCGGGAAAGCCATCGTCCAGCGCGGTGCATGCTGGGAAATGCAGTTCACTAGCTCCGGGAACAAGCAGGAGGCGGCGGGGCTTCAGTTGAGTATCCACTGAACGCTTGTAACCGGCGAACACTCATAAGAAGTTACTCACCATGTATGAAATTTTCTGTCTTTCTCTATACATCCTTTTCTGGTTTTGTTTTCTTGGGCATTTTTGCAGTATGATCTCGCTCTGTAGCCCAAGCTGGCTTTTAATTTGAGGCTCTGCCTTCTACCTTGGTCTCCCCAGTTTGGGATTACAAATGTGTGCCACCAAGTCTGGCTGCTTTAGTATCCGCTCTCTACCCACTTGCATTTTATACTTTTCACCTGAAAGCACAAATCTAGCCTTACCACTCCTGGCTTCAGGGCTGGCTTTCAGTTCCTGACCTCAGTTTCTCCAGACCTTTCACAGTTGCTTGCTTATGCTCAGTTATACCAGGGTTTCTGACCCTGCTGCATTTTAAGATCTTTACAGAATCCAGTGTTTTATTCAACCATTCATTCCTTTGGTAAATAGTTCTGACTGTAGCCCTACTATAGACCAAGAACTGCTCTACACTCCAAGTACAGAAATGATCGAAGCAAACCAGATGCTCTCTCATGAGAACTGGCAATAAAGTAGCAACTGAATACAGGGGAAAGATAACTTCAGAGTGATAAACCTTAGAAGCAAATTACAGCTGTCACATTCATTTGATCTGTATTTTCTGAACAGTTAGTGTATGTGAAGCACTGTTATAAACCTTACAGATACAAGTGAGCAAAGACTGGGGGCATCTACAAGCTTATACCGAGCATAGGAGTGGGGAGGAAGAAACAGAAAACAAACTATCAGTTAAAGGCAGTTATGAGTACTCTGAAGGGGATGAGGAAACACCTGAGGACCAGAAGAGATCAGGCTACAGAACTCAGTTACAGAGATAGAGAAAGTACATGAAGGTTTGCACCAAGTGTTTCAGGGACTGAAAAAAAACCAATCCAGTGAAAGCTTGCTGCTTTAAGAAACAGAAAATGTGAGTTTTGAGAAGTCAAAGGCAGGCAGGGCAAGGCCACATAGGCCTTGTACACTTTTAGCAAAATAATTTTTGTAATTTTTTGACATTTATTTTGAGTGTTTGGATGGGTGGGTGCACACATGGAAGTCAGAGGACAACTCGTGGGAGTCAGTTCTCTCCTTCCACCCTGTGGGTTCTGGGGACTGTGCACTGATTGTCAGGCTTGGCAGCAAGCCCCTTTACTTGTCAGCCCAATAATTTACTATCAGATATGTTTTCTGGTTTTGAGATGTGGGTCTCACTATGTAGCTCTGACTGGTCTGGAACATGCTATGTAGACCAGATTGGCCGTGAACTCACAGAGATCTGTCTGCTTCAGCCTTCCAAGTGTTAGAATTAGAGGTGTGGGCCACTATGACCTGCCTCTACCACAGAGTTTTAAGGAAGACAATGCTTTGATCTGATTACATTTTTTAAAAATTTTTCTGTTTGGTGCATGAAATGTGTGAAAGGAGAACAAGTGTGTCAGCAAGGTCACTTGAGACACAGATCAGAAAATTAGAATGAAGGCAAAACAAACTGGATTTGCCTGACACATCATAAAGTCATGGATTCATTAAGGGTTCATAGGTCACAGCTGGAAGTACAATTAAGTTTTATATACCAGATAGAACTGTGCTACCATTGTACCTTGTACATACCTCTATCAGAATATTTATCATATCAGTTCTCTGTCTAGCATCCTGTTGGAAAGAAAATCTGAGGCCCAAGGAGCCAGTGATACAGCACAAAGGATATGCGGCAAAAGCAAAAGCAACTCAGCAAGGCAGCTTTTACCTTTGCAAGAAGATTGGACACTAGGTTTTGTTTGTTTTTGTTTTCCTAAGATAGGGTCTCACTATGTAGAACGACTGTCCTGAAACTTATATAGACCAAGCTGACCTCCACTTGGGGCAAGGATGAGTAATTTTAAAAAGAATTCGTACAAAGGAAATGAAGAAAAGGAGGAAGAAGTTAGCATTCCTGTCATCAAGTTCCAGGAAGGCAGCAGGGTCTGTGCATAAACATTTTATGAGGTGGGAGAGATCACAAAATGGCATTATGAAGGTTACATCCCTGGGATCATTCTTTTGATAGAAGAGACTTCTGATAGAATTCCTTGTAATTAATTCCCTCATAATCAAGGCTGGACTCCAACTCATTACATGGCATGGCTGGCTTTTAAATAACAGTAATCCTAGTTCTCAGTCTCCAGAGGTGTTGGGTTTACAGCAGAAGCCGCCAAGGTCAGCTTGAGCAATTGTTTTTGTTATTGTTGAGACAAGGTCTTATTATGCATCCCTGGCTGGTCTGGAACTTGCTCTGTAAATCAGACTGGCCCTGAACTCAGAGATCCACCTGCCTCCACCTCCTGAGTGCTGGTCTTAAAATTAGGAATGCAAAATTGTCTAGCTGCTGTTTAAAACAGTATGACACAGGGAAATGCAAAAAACTTCATTGAGAGTCCATCTCACTCCAGTCAGAATGGCTATTACAAATAATAATAGATGCCGGCAAGGATGTGGAGAAAAAAAGGAACACCTACATACTGTTCATTTTGGAACATAAAAACAGCAAAATCAAAGCCAATTGTGGTGGCCCACAACTTTAATCCCAGCACTTAGGAGGCAGAGGCAGGCAGAGCTCTGTGAGTTCAAGGCCAGCTTGGTCTACATAGTAAGTTCCAGGCTAGCTGGAGCTACAGGGAGACCTTGTCTGAAAAAAGACAAAAAAAAAAAAATAAAAAAAAAAAAAAAAAAAAAAAAAAAAAAAAAAAAGGATTTTATGTTTTAAAAAGGAATAGAATATTATTATGCCATTAAGAAGAATGAAATTTGGAGCTGGAAATGTAGTTCAGCTGGTGTTGCTCAGTTAGAATGCTTGCCTGTCTTGTATGAGCTAAATTTGATCTCCAGCATGGATGCTCACTAGTGATAGAGGGGAAACTGGGGTCCCCTTTTAAGGTCCTAATTCTCATTAATAAAGGAATTTAAGGGGTTGGAGAGGTGGTACAGCAGTTGAGACCTCTGGTTGGTCTTGCAGAAGACCCAAGTTCAAATCCCAGCACCCACATGGCAGCCAACTACTGTAATTCCAGTTCCAGGGGATCTGATATCTTTGGGCCTCTGTGGACATTGCAGGCAAGAGTTCACTTACATACATGCAGACAAAACACTCACAGACATAAAAATAAATTAAAAAATTAAGAATGGATTCAAACAGAAGCTTGAGGACAACTGGAGTTTAAAAGAAAAACCCTATCCAGGTGTGGTGGCCCATGCCTTTAATCCCAACACTCGGGAGGCAGAGGCAGGCGGATCTCTGTGAGTTCAAGGCCAGTCTGCTCTACACAGAGTGAGTTTCAAGTCAACTGGGGCTACAGGAGACCCTGTCTCAAAAAGACAAAACAAACAAACAAACAAACAAACAAACAAAAAACCCCAAAAACCAACCCAAGGGCAGACAAGCTGTAAATGTCAAGTGTCCAGAGGAAAGAGAAGGACAAAATGCCCTACTATTTAAACCAGCATAGAGGTCAGACAGGTGGTGGATTAACAGCCACATGGTGGGCTGGAGAGCTTTAGAGAACCAGAAAGTTCACCGTGTTGGGGAAAGCATGCTTAGAAAAAAGAAAAGAAAAGCTGCATGGCTTCATCCTGATAAACTACTGTACCAGGGTCAGGAATTTTGGGAAGGAAAAGGATCAATTATTCTGTCTATATCTATAGCATGGTTTAAGGTAAACCAGCCTTCCTAAACTGGTCCCTCGTCCAGGTGACTGACCTGGCCCTTCTGGAATGTTAGGTCTTCATCCAAGCCAGATATTCTATTCTTGTGATCAGAAGTCCCCCCTCCTCTCTATATATATTAAATTTATATATTTTTAAAATTTTATTTGTATGAGTATTATGCCTGCATGTGTGTAAGTGCACCCCTGTCGTACAGTGTCCAGGGAGGACAGAAGAGGGCATTGGATCCCCCAGAACTGGAGTTACAGATGGTTGTTAGCCACCATGTGGGTGTTGGGATTTGAACTTAGGTCGTTTGTAAGAACAGTGCTCTTAACTGCTGAGCTATCTCTCCAGGCCCCAAAAGTTTCTCTTATCAAGCCTTCACTGCTATTCTAACACCAGCATGTCTCTCTCATTCTAAATGATAAACAATACCCCTCATAAATTCACTTTCCAACTTCTTTTGCAATAATTAAACTTTGTTGTAAAGTATCCTTTGAACAATTTTTCCTTTTCCTATTCTTTTTTTTTTTTTTTTGTCTTTTTGACACAGGGTCTCCCTGTAGTCCCAGCTGGGCTGGAACTCACTTTGTAGAAAAGGCTGGCCGCTATCTCAGAGATCCACCTGCCTCTGCCTCCTGAGTGTCTTTGAACAACTCAACTGAAAACAAGCAAAACAAAAACAACAATATAACCTAAGAGGCAGACAAGAGAGATGGCTCAGTCGTCAAAAGCACCGGGTGCTCTGGTTGAGGACCTGAGTTCCGTTCCCAGCACGCACACTGTGGCTAAAACTGACTATAACTCCAGTTCCAGGGGATCCAGCACCCTCTTCTGGCCTCCACGGGCACTGCACTCCAGTGGTGCACATACATACATGCAGGCAAAACACTCATACATATATTAAAAACAAAACAAAACACCCTCAGAGGCTCCATTACAGAGACACCTAGGTACAGCCTTCCCCTGGGAAGTTCATACCTACACTTGGGCTATATTGTCTTTCCCTGCACGTCTATTAATCCCTGTGCTTAAGACTGAACGTCTTCAAAAGCGGTCTAGCCACTCAGGTCGAGTTCGACAAGCCTGAAAACGAGACCGCTTAGAAACCCGGGGCATTTCCAGATCGTCTCCTTCTCCTTGGCGGCGCGATTCTTACTCGCAGTGCTTTCAGACTGAGATGTCTCCGGTTGGGTTGCGCTTGCCCCGTTTCCGGTGTCGTCTGCCCCACGCGCCACGTTTCCGGTGTCCCCTGACTCCGCGGGACGCATTTCCGGTGCGGCGGGCAGCGGGAGAGAGGCTGGTTAGGCGAGGCGGCGTGGAGTCCTCTGGCCCGCAGCATGAAGCCCCGGTCCGCGGTGTTCGTGGACGCGAAGCTGAAGCAGCGGGTCGTTCAGGTGCGTGTGGGTCCCGGGCTCCGCGTCGCCATTCTTTCGCGGCTCTGGGTCGGGGCCTGGCGCTTCAGCCGCGGGCCGTTTCCTAGTGGCCCGTGGACGTCCCCACGACACCCGGTCGGCCCTCGGCGAGGTGGGCCGCATTCTCGCTTCCGGTGGCGTTAGCACAGGAACCGACTTCCAGTGCCGTGTGTCCATAATCCCGGTTACCCGAGTTGTCCGGAGAACATAAAAAAGAGGTTCCCGGAGGACTTTACCCGTGTGCTTCCCATTTTCCTAACTAGAAAGAAGTGTGTGGTGGGTGCCTTGGGATGCTGCAGTTTGCCAGCAGTACGAGTTAAAAAGAGGGAGAGTTTTTATTTATTTATTTTTTATTATTGTATTCTTTGTTTCAGTGAGGAAGTTGCACTCTTTCCCCTTTGGAGTTTGTGGATTGTAGCCTAGTTTTTCGTCTGCCCATCGTCCTCAGCCTCCGGCTCTATGCACTATCCCTTTTGTGATCCAGAAGAGCGCCAAGGCTCTCTATTTCTTCGGACTCCTCGCTTACCTATCCATAATTTTTAGTGGATCTCATTCAGCCTAACACTTTTAAGTATTAGCTTTATATTCATGACACGTAAATTTCTAGCCCTAGTGTCGAGTTTTATCTTGAATTCGGTATATCCAGCTGCCTAGTTGGTATCTTCTACATAAGAACTCCAGCTTTTGATCCGCCCCCCTTTAGATTTTCTTAGTGTCATTTATTTCAGAAAATGACACTTTCTATCCAGTTGTTTAGGTGAAAAACGTAAAGGCGCATTCTGACTTTTCTTTCACATCCTGTATTCAGTCTGTTAAAAATTTGGTTGTATATAACAAATCCAGGCCAAGCGGAGGTCGCACTCCTCTAACTCCAGCACTTGGGAATCTGAGGCAGGAGGATTGAAAATTGAAGGCAAACTGAGGCTACAAAATGAGACCCTTGTATGAAAAAAAATAACCAACCCACACACTAACAACCATCTCCAAATCCATCATCTCTACCTCCATCCATCCAAACCACCACTATCCTATTTCAGTAGTTACAGTAACTCATCTCTGAACCTACTTTCTGACTCTTCCACAGAGCAATCAGAGATTATTTTAGAGGCAAAATTAGAGCTTGTAGGAGGCCTACTCAAAACCTGTCAGTGGTCTCAGACATCTGAAATAAAACTTTTTTTTTTTTTTTAAGAAACAGGGTCTATGTAAACTTGCTCACTCACAAAGGGTAGCCTCCAACTCACAAAGATCCTCATGCCTCTATGTTCCTGAGTGCCACGCTGGGCTAGAATAAAGCTTTTTGGCAGGGGTTGGGGACTGGGTGATAGAACCCAGGGCTTTGCATATGTTAGGCAAGTGTTATAGTTTAAGACTAGTCTGGGCAACAGCAAGACGATCTCAAAAGAAAACAGGTGATTTCATGATAAAAATAAATTACTTAATTGCTTTGAGCTAATAGTTTTGTAAGTGTCTGACAGATGTCAAACAATACTGTGCTCCCACATTTAAAATAATATATGATGCCAGGCATGGTGTAAGCCTTTAATTCCAGCACTGGGGAGGCAGAGGCAGGCTGATCTATGTGAGTTTGAGGCTAGCCTGGTCTACATAGGCAGATCCAGGGCAGCCAGGGGATACACAGTAAGGCCCAACAAACAAAAAATCATGTGCTGTTTGGGTCAATTTGCTGATGTATTCTGATGTGTTTGGGAACATATGGTATGGTAAGCCTGTACACAGTACCTTGAAGTTATTATGTTGTCAGAGTGGCTAGTCCTGTTAATTAAATTCTCCATTATAGACTTAACAATTACTTGGTGATTTTGCTTTTTAATTTGTGTTTGAATATACTTTTTTATTTGTAGTATACTTTATTACTAAAGAATTTACATTGGAATAACTCAGTCTCTTGTTTACTGATTAAAATCACCAAGCTTGTATTTGTCCTATTTTCTGTTTTAGTACCTCAGCAGTAATAGATGTGGCAAATATGTGGACACTGGAATCTTAGCATCTGATTTGCAAAGAATGTACAGGTAAAGAATTGTAGCCTCCAAACCTTGCTTTTTTTTTTTTTTTTGCCCCCACCCCCTTCCACTTTAAATACTCTTATCTTGCTTAAATTTTCAGTTGATATAGGTAGCTGCTGGCACTAGCTTACCAATTCATAAACCTGGAAATCAAATCAGTGATATAAACTTAAGTACCTGTTATAGGCAGGGTTTTATTACACACACACACACACACACACACACACAAATAAGGAGAGGTCTAAGCTTGTTTCTATCCTCACCATAGTCTATGAACTATATGAGCTGATTTGCTACTTTATATTCTTATTTTTTAAAGATTTATTTTTAATCATGTATGTCTGTGTTACTGAGTGGGGGTGCCCATGGAAGCCAGAGGCCTTAGAACCCCTGGAACTAGAGTCACAGGTAGTTGACCATCTGATGTGGGCATTGGGAATCGATCTCAGGTCCTCTTGACTGAGCAGTATGTGCTTCAGTCCATTACACCGTCTTTCCAGCTTCCTAACAAAGTTAAATTATCTTTGAGACAGAAGATGGACATGAGAAAGTAGGGTCAGACAATAGTAGGTGATGGTCCTTGGGGAAGAGGCTAAGGCTATCACAGTGAAGAGGGGTCTGGTTGGGAGCACAGCTACTCCCAGGCTGTTGGGTGGTTTTTCCTCCTCTTTAAAAAAATTTTATTATTTATTTTTTGCCGGGCGTGGTGGTGCACGCCTTTAATCCCAGCACTTAGGAGGCAGAGGCAGGTGGATCTTTGTGAGTTCAAGACCAACCTGGTCTACATAGTGAGTTCCAGGATAGTTGGGGCTACAGGGAGAACCAGATCCTGTCTCAAAAGAAAAAAAAATTTAAAAAAAAATTTTTTTTTTTAAATTTATTTATCTGAGATAGTGTCTTACTATATAACTGTAACCCTGGCTGACCTGAAACTCACAATGTGAAAACTCACAATGTAAAAACAATGTAAAAACTCTTGAACACATAGACATCTGCCTGAGTCTGCCTCTGCCTCCTGGGTGACCATTTCCTTTTTGTCTTAGTTACAGTATAGTACAGCTACCTATGGTGGTCACTCTGGGTAAACTCCTGTACTGTCTTCATATCTAACTGCCTTCCACACCACCGCCTCAGCAGCAAGTCACCAAGCCCAGCTGTTGTCTCAAAAACACTTTGCAATGTCAGTTCTCCCCTTCTACCAACTACTGGCCTAATCCAAATTCTCATTATCTCTTGTTTTGATTTCTGTTTCAACTTCTAAATAGTCTCCCTATTTCTGGTCTGCCTTGTAATTCAGTTTACTAATCCAGCTGTCCATATAGGTTTTTCATCCATGGGAAGGAATGACAGAGCAATTGGAAGTCAAGAGGAAGGGATAGTTTTTCATTAGGTGAAACTGTTGTATATGAGGACGAATATCCAATAACTGTATCTTCACTCACTGAATCACATAACATAGTACTCACATGTTCATAGTACCCTCCAGGTGTGTCACCACCACCATTGAAATCCACTCTTCAAACCTATGCTAACTACAATCATTGAAGGGGATGTCTTTATATTTATTTTACTTGACCATCCTCCTATTTGAGCCTTTAATGCCCTCATTTTATGTCAATGATATTTATCAACTGCTTTATTTTTTCATTTTCTTTACCATTTTTCTTTTTTGGGAGAGTGGCTTATGTATACCAACTGATTGGTCTCCAACTTAATAGGTAGATGAGGATGATATTGAATGGTCCTCCCTCCACTTCAAATGCTAGGATTACAGGCATGTGCCACTATGCCTGATTTTATGTGGTGCTGGGGGCTGTGCTCACTAGGCTACATTCCTAGCCTAGCCCTCCATGCACCTGTCTCTTTGCCTTGTGCTAATAATGCTTCATAAGCACCATTATACATATTACACTTTTGTCTATGCTGTGTGTCTTCTCCTCTGGCAGAGATCTTACTTAAAGGTTAAAGGATTCAGTAGCATCTCTCTTTCATTTCTTAAATCTTAGCTCTTGGATTGACAGTGTTCCTTGGTTGAATTAAATAAGTGAAAGTGATTGAATCTGTACTAGTTCCTAAACAGCTAAATTATTGCTACTATAAAAGAAAAGTGTTGTAATAGTGGATAAGAATTTTGCTGAAGACGTGATTGGGGCATTGGTGGAAAGGTTTGTTGAGGAAGCCCACCTCCTGGCTTTGTTTTGTTGATAGCCCAGGCTTAAACTTGCTATGTAACTAGTGTGACCTTAAACTGATTGTCTTGCTTCCACCTCCCCAGTGTGGGATTATAGTCCTAGACCACCATACAAGGCTTAACACACCAACTTGGGAGAGAGCTTTTGGAACAGTCATTGTATATACTCTTGTACCCTTAACTTTATTATTTGTCATTAACATTTCCATATAGTAACTATCATTCTCTCTCCTTTTCTTTCTGCTAGAAAATGTATATATAAAAATAATCCTGAAATTATATTAACCTACTGTAATTTGCAAGTTAAAATTTTCTGAGCCAGCAGGGGGCATATTCACAATTCTTGATTTGTAGCTTTTTAAAAATTAAATCTCAAAGAGATTAGGGCCATTAATGCTAATATCATTGGAAAGAAAGGCTTTTTGTTTTGTCTTTCAAATCTCATCAAGATTTGAGAATGCTGACTTGTATTTTAAAATCTGTATCAGAAATAGCGCTATAAGAAGTAGACTTTGAATCTTCATTTAGAAAAGGGATAATACAGCTTATTTCAGATGCTGAAATTGCTTTGTCTCATTTTAGTGATTCTATTTAGTGAAATATAGCAGGGCATCATAATGTAACACATGGTTTTACTAGATTGTACATCATGTAGATTTTCCTTTTATACTGTTAGTGTCTTTATTAGCTATCAAGAACTTAAAAATTTTTATGATATGGCAAATACTTATTAAATGCTTATACACAAATGTAGTTTTAGGTATTGTAGATATGAAACATTCATAATTTATATCCTTGTACTTGAAGAAATTTACAGTACAGAAGATGAACAAGAGCCGGAGGGATGGATCAGCAGCATTGGCTGCTCTTTCAGAGGATCTGGGTTCAATTCCCAGCACCCACATGGCAGATAACAATCATCTGTAACTCCAGTTCCAGGGGAATCTGATGCCCTCTTCTGACCTCCATGGGCTTTTCATGACATGGGTACACACTTATGTACATGCAGGCAATACGCTCATACACATAAAATAAAAATAATAAAATATTTTTTAAGAGAAGATGATAAACACTAGTCAACAATAGCTATAGAATAAAGGAAGGGATTGATCTCCATGCTGTGTCTCTGTGGAAGAGACTTGGGTTTTGTTTAGGGGTAGGGCTGTTGATCCTGTGTACTTAAGGGAGAAATAATCTTAGTTTTGCTGTTCAAGAAACATGTAAAATGCTATGTTTTTTTGTTTTTTTGTTTTTTTTTTTAAAAAAAAAGACAGTTTATTTTTTGAGACAGAGTCTCCCTATACTCCCAGCTGGCCTGTAACTCATTATGTAGACCAAGTTGGCTCTGCCTCTACCTTCTGAGTGCTGGGATTAAAGACATTTACCACCATACCCTATTTTGATGTTTTATACTTTAAAGAAAAATTGAGGGCCTAGAGAGATGGTTTAGTGGTTAAGAGCACTTGTTGCTCTTGCAGAGGCCCTGGGTTTGGTTCCCAGCACTCACAAATCAACTCACAATGGTTTGTAACTCCAGTTCTAGGAGATCCAGTGTCTTTTGGCCTCCTCAGGCACTAGGCACATACATGGTGCACATACTTATAGGCAAATTAACAGTGTCTAAAGTGACGTGAATGCTATTTCTTTTTGCGCTAATTCTGTAGTTATATAGATACCTTTTTTATGTTTGGGTTGTAAGCCTGAGCTAAGCCCAGGTACTTTTTTTTTTTTAAACGAAGAAACATGCTGAGTTCTGTGGTGAAGTGTCTGTAGCTAAATTTTTAAATAATTCTACCTCCAATAGAGTATTATCTCCGAAAACAGAAAGAAATAAAGTAAATGTGACAAAACGTTAACAGTTTGAAAATGTAGATAAAGAATATATGGGTATGTATGTGTTACTTTATTTCAAAATAAGCATGTTTGAAATAATCAGATCTACTAAAAAAGAAAGATGGGTGTGGTGCTATACCTCTGCAATTCCAGTTCTGAGACTGAGGCAGGAGGATTGAGTACAAGTGTCAGGTTTCATAGGAAGACCCTGACTCTATAAATCTTTTTAAAAAGAGGAGAAATAGTAATAGAAATATAAATTCAGAAGTTGGGCTGGTGAGATAGCAAGACAAAAAATAAATTCAGAAGTTGTTTGAGGTTTATGGCTAATGAAAACACTGACATAATTAAGTACTTGTACAAATTTGTGACTTAGATTGAGTTCTATCTGTAGAGGGGAATGATCTAAAATAGCCATTGTTTTGGTTTTGAATGTCTGTTTATTACACATGTAGGAAACAAAAGTAAAAGAACAAATAACAGTGTCATCAAATTGTGCGCTTAAAACATCCAGCAGAAACAGCTGGGGGGAAGACCTTAAACAGTTGTACTTGAGTTCTTAACTGAGAGATTTCTGGGCAGAGCATCCTTTCCACAGATGAGCTTTTGACTGCTTGTTCTGCCACAGGCAGTTTTATACCATACTATAAACAGTAGTAACCTCTGATTGGAAATGGTATACCTTCTATCTGTTCTGAAGGGGACAATGATTTTAAATCCTTAGCTTTTTGCTGTTCTTCCTCTCTGTTACGGGGTCAAGGGGCCAATCATCCCAGGACAAAGGGTTTTGGAAGATATGTAAGATAATATTGCTTGAGATGGGGGAGGAGTCGATCTTGGTCTTTTCTCAACAAAAGAAAACAGCACATGACAATTTACCAATATAATGTATAAGTTTAATGGAAAGATGTTTGTGGAGACCTTTGTGCTAAGATTTTTTTTTTTCCTTTTCAGTATAGATTATGGTCGAAGAAAAAGAAATGCATTTAGGATTCAGGTAGAAAAAAGTGAGTCAGTATTTGAACTGAATTATCAGCAGTTAGAGAAAGAACTGTTTAGCTCATGGCATTTTGTTTATTGTTTCAGTATTTAACATAATTAGTCATGAGAAAGAACTTAAGAAATTGACAGAATTAGAAGACAAACATCTGACAAAAAGAGCAAGACAAGATGAAGAGGATGAGTAAGTATTACAAAGTATTTCTCCCTAAAGTCACATTCATGTATATAAAACTTTCAGTGACTTTTTATTGCCAATTGCAGTTATACTTAAATATTGTCTTTACCTTAACTCCAACCTTTTCTTCCAGCCATATTGAATGCTCTCTGTTCCCCAAACAGTTTTTTTAGACAGTGTCTCACTCTGTAGCCCTAGCTGGCCTGAAATTCACAGAAATCAGCCCGGTTCTGCCTCCCAAGTGCTGTGATTAAAGTGTATGCTACCATGCCTGGCCTAAAGTCATTTTTTACTGTGGTTTTCAGTAACTTTGAGTATATTAATTTCCATCTCACAAATCTCACACAGCCTTCAAAAGTCAGTTGAGATGTGATTGCCTTTCTTAGGCCTTCTTAAACCCCCTTGTTAGTATTTCCTTAGTGTCTGGGTATAGGAATTTACTGTGTCATCTGACATTGAAATTGCTTTACTTTTTTGTATTACCAATAAAGCTGTCTCATCATCTTTTGCTTTTCTTTTCCTTAACATAATGCCAGATAGGTTAAAGGTACTGATTAATTTTGTTCTTTAATAGCATGATTTGGCACATAACTCATCAGTAATGCTTGCTTAGCATGCCCAAGGCTCTGGCATGTGCCTGTGTGTGTGTGTGTGTGTGTGTGTGTGTGTGTGCACAACTGCTCCCTCTCCCCCCCCCCACCAAACTTACTGAGTTATAATTGACATAGAATAAGCTGTATGAAGTATACAATTTGTTTAGTTTTGACATTTGTGTTTACTCCTTAAACCATCACCATACCAACATGCTGAACATTTCCGTCAAACCCGAAACTTGTTTCCCTTCACAGTTCATTTCTTCCTGCATCCCCATTTTCAGGTAGCCTTTGACTTGCTTTCTGACATTTTTTAAGTATATTTTATCATTTTAATTTTATGTGTATAAAGTGTATTACTGCCTGTATGTAAGTGCACCCATGTCATGCAGTGTCTGTGAAGGTCAGAAGAGGGTGTCAGATCTGCTGGAACTGGAGTTATAGATGGTTGTTAGCTGCAATGTGGGTGCTGGGAACTGAATCCGGGTCCTCTACAAGAGCAGCCAATGTGCTTAACCACAGAGCAATCTCTCCAGCTCTAGCTTTCTGACTCTTTAAGATTGCATTTGGGCATTGATGACGCATGGCTTTAATCCTAGCATTCTGGAGGCAGAAGCAGGTGGATCTCCTGAGTTCGAGGCCAGCCTGATCTACATAGTGAGTTCCAGGCCAGCTGGGGCTACAGGAAGATTCTCAAAAAAAAAAAAAGATTGCATTTCTGGAATCATAAATATATACTTTTAAAAATCTGGATGCCTTGCCCTAGCATGATTTTTATATTTATCAATGTTGTATGCGTTAATAGTTTGTGGGTTTTTAAAAAAAATAATTGAGAATTTCATACAGGCATATAAGCATATAAGGTGTTTTGATCAAATCCATGCCCAGTCCCTCCCCTCCAACTCCTCCCATATCGCCCCATCACTTTTTTCTGATAACTTCATGTACTCTTTCTTCTCTTTTTAATATGGGGCTTTTTGCTACTCTAACATTCCCCCACTGAAGAGGTAACCCTAAAATCTTTTAAGGATTAGATAAGATCTCCCAAATACTTTCAACATTTTTTGACCTTTAGAATGGAGTATGTTGCTAAGCGGGCCAAGTACATTTTGACTTTTAGCTAAGAAACTGGCTACTTTTCTTTGGGGTCTTTTTACCATAACTGCCTAGCCAATTCCTACCTCCTATTCTTACCACACCATCCTCTGAAGAGATTACTCAACTTGTGGATAGGGAATCGGGATGCAGACTGCTCTGGCTTCGTCCATGCTGAACAGGGATGCAGGGTAAGGCAGTTGGGGTACCCCTTCAGTGGGTCTATCCAAAAGACTCCCAAATTGCATAACTCTTATCTGTAGGGGGAAAAGAAAGTCCTTGACTAGTGAATAGGAGATGTGAAGGAGAAGTAAAGGCCAGAGTTATTAGCATTACAAGTTCTAGACAGGGAACTAGAAATTGCAGGGCAATTTTCAAATGTTCATGTGAGAATACATTAGAATTTCTTGACGAGAGCTTCCCAAAGCATCCCTCTCTTGGGTTCTTCCTCGTTTTTCTTTGTCTTCCAAGGCTGGACTCTAGAGTGATGGATTCAGGATTTGCCTTCAGGCATTTTGATAGCTGTTGGAGTGGTTAGAATCAGTTTCAGTTCTCTCTCAAAGGCTTCCAGATAGGGGAAGAAAACAAATTTACCCATCATTTTAGAACTATAGCTGGTTGTCTCCCTTCGCTACAGGTGGGCACTATAGTATTGCAGACCAAGATTTGAAGTCTTACATCTGAGCAGCACTTTCTGATTCAGAACAAAATTATCAATGAGAAATAATTGTCTAAATAACTTTTCATATAGACTTAAGCCTAATGTCTGAGAAGTGTAACCCCTTGAACTCATAAAGAAATATACTGATGACTTTACTCTTTGGTTACACTTTCCTTTCGGGTGTTTAAGACCATACAGTTGGCCCAAATAAATCTGTTCATTTTCACACTTAAGATCATTAGAGGATCTGTTCCTGAGGGGTCACATGGGTTTGGGAGGAGCCTCTGGCTCCTTTCATTTACCAGTTCCATGTGAAGATAAGTCAAAAGTCCTTCTCGACCATGGCTGGCTTCACTTGGAAGCATGGATGAGATGTTTCCTCTGAGTTGACCCTCCTCTTATAGTTTTGGTTTTTTATTGGTGACTATGATTATGACAAAATTTTTTTTTTTTTGGCATTTTGAGACAGGGTCTCCCTGTAGCCCCAGCTGGCCTCGAACTCACAGAGATCCGCCTGCCTCTGCCTCCCGAGTGCTGGGATTAAAGGAGTGTACCACCACGCCCAGCTATGACAAAAATTTTTAATTAAAGTGTTGATGCCCTTTTGCAGTTTGTGAGAATTCTGTATGTTCTACACATTTGGTGTGATCATTCTTTCAGACAGTACTTCAGCTTAGGTATAATGATAGCTACAAGTTTTAGTAGGTGTCCTTTGTGAAATTGATGAATATTCCTAGTTTTGCTGAGAGTTTTTCGTTTTTGTTTATTTATTTATTTTTTTGGTGTTTTTGAGACAGGGTCTTCCTGTAGCTCCAGCTGCCTGGAACTTGCTCTGTAGATCAGGCTGGCCTCGAACTCACAGAGATCGGCCTGCCTCTGCCTCCTGAGTGCTGGGATTAAAGGCATGTGACACCATGCCTGGCTATTTTTGCTTATTTTTAAGCATAGTTATTTGTTTGTTTACATGAGTTTATGTGTACCACATGCATGCAGGGCCCACAAAGGACAGAAGAGGGCATCAGATCCCCTGGAACTGAAGTTATAGGCAGTTGTTAGCCACCATGTGGGTGCTAGGAATTGAACCTGGGTCCTTTGCAAGAGCAGCCAGTGTTCTTAACTGTTGAGCCATCTCTCCAGAGAGAGAGAGAGAGAGAGTGCGTGTGTGTGTTTGTGCCCATGGAGGCCAGAAGAAGGCATTAAATCCTTGTGAGCTAGAGTTACAGGTGGCTATAAGCCACCTGACCTGAGTGCTGGGTCCTTTGGAAAAGCAACAAGTACTCTTAACTGCCAATCCATCTCTCCCTTGAACTTAACTCTTGGGCTCTTAACCACCATAATGTTTTACCTTAATATATTTGCTTGTTTGGGGTAGTAATTTTGGGGGTACAGGGGAAACACATTAAAATTTTTTTCGTTTTTTTTTAAACTGAGGTATACTGAAAGCTATTCTGATGATGATTCAGATGTGGAAGATTACACAGATCCGCAGGTAAGCCAAACATTTAATGAGCCCACTTTGATTTTCAGTTTTTTCCTTTTTTGATATATATATATTTTTTCAATTTATGTGCATGAGTGTTTTACCTGCATGTGTGTAAGTACACCATGTGGTGCAATGTCCACACAAGTCAGAAGAGGGTATCGGATCCCCTGGAACTGGAGTTACAGACCATTGTTAGCTGCCATGTGGGTGCTGGGAATTGAACTCTGGTTCTCTGTAAGAGCAGCCAATGAATGCTCCCAATCACTGGGCCATCTCTCTAGCCCCTGACTTTTTTTTTTTTTTTGTAATCATGATCCTCTCTTAGAAAAAATGTCACAAATAGAATGAGAAACCTTGTCCATCTTTATCAGTACATAATTGAATGCTTCCTAGTCACACTGCTGGTGGTTTAATCATCCTCCCAGTATTTATGTTTGTATGCCCAGTTGTATAAGGGAAAAGAATAAAAACTAAGAGCACACAGGAATGTAAAGATAAGTAACAATAATAAGGAAACTAGTGGAGTGGTGGTGCACACCTTTTAATTCCAGTACAGTAGGAGGCAGAGGCAGGTAGATCTCTGATATTTTTGTTTTTGAGACAGGGTCTCCCTGTAGCCCCAGCTGTCTTGGAACTCACTATATAGACCAGGCTGGCCTTGAAGTCACAGAGATCTACCTGCCTCTGCCTCCCAAGTGCTAGGATTAAAGGTATGTGCTATCACACCTGGCCTCAGATCTCTGACTTCTAAGGCCAGTCTGGTCTACATAGCAAGTTCCAGGTTAGCCTGGGCTGTATAATGAGACACTGTCTCAAATAAAGAGAGAAAAGAGGCTATAATTTCTGCCAAGAAGTAGCATTACTGATGACTTGGCTTAACTAAAGAGATATGGCAATAATGTGCCAAGTTACTTATAGCTTGCTTCTCTAGATTTTTCCCATTTGGTAAATGAGGTTTTGAATTTATTAACAAAGTGATATTTGATCCAGTTTTGAATTGATGCTATGGTAATGACTCACAGATTACTTGTTCCTTTTCATACATGCTTCATGATTTTATTTGATCATCAGTTATGAATTAACCCTCTGTTGACAGAGAATGGTTGTAGTGGTGCATCGTTTTAAATGGTAGAAGCTTATTTGGGAGTTATTTTATTGTGAATGCTTATGTCTTCTGACTAAATGTTGTGAGAGAAGTTGTTGAAAGCAAAATACACAAAACTTGTTAGGATAGGTAATGAAACTTAATAATTGTTGAGTAACTTACACTAATACCATGTTTCTACCAGTCAGCAAATCACATGAACAGTTCCCTGCTCTCTTTATATCGGAAAGGAAACTCTGATTCTATTTCAAATACTCCGGAGTTGGAGCAGAGAGGAGCCACCTCTTCAGCGCCATTGCTGACTTCTAAAACAGACTCCATTCCTTTGAAGACCCCTGCCAGAGAGTCTGAGGGTGGATGGTTTATTGACAAAACCCTAGATGAAGCAAGAGACAGTTTTTTCTTGGACCTATCAGATGTCAAAAGCAACCGTAAGAAGCCAGTATCCGAAATACAGGTATTTTCATAGTGCTAATTTAGCTCCATGTAGTTGGAGTACATTACAATCTTTGTGTTGAATGTAGTATCAGGTATATACTTAAGTTTTACAAAAAAATCATCATAGACACTTTGAAATATATAAAAACTTTGATCACTTTCTACTATTTTATCCTAATCCAACGTTGTCTTTATTGTGTTAACCATTGAATAGACTTCAAAATGAAGTGTCTTGTTAGTCTGGTTTATTCTTCACATAGAAATACTGTTTTATGAATTGTTGGATTATTGCCATTTGCATTAGACTTTTCATTGCAGTGAGAAATGCCCAAGAGAAACAATTTAAAGGATGAAGGATTTATTTGGCAGAATTTCAGATATTGTAGCCCATGGTAAACTGGTTACATTCTTCTAGGCCTGGGGTGAGGCCGAACATCATGGTGAATGAGCATAGTAGAGTGGAGTCACTTACCTCACTGAGCCAAGCAGTAGTGACAGGAAGAGACCACAGATTCAGGTTTCCTCAAGGACATCCCCCCCACCTCCACTGACATTTTACTTCCAACTTGGTCCTACCTCCTAATAGCCATTCAGCTATGAACTCATTAATCGATCGTTCCTATATGAAGTTAGTACCCTCATAATCCAATCACTTCTCTTTGGAGACAGGGTCTCCTGTAGCCTCAGCTGGCCCAGAACTCACTATGTAGACCAGGCTGGCCTTAAACTCACAGAGATCTGCCTGCCTCTGCTTCTGCAAGCTGGGATTAAAGGCATGCACCACCAAGCCCGGCTCTGGTTCTTTTTTTTGTTTGTTTGTTATTGTTTTTAAACCTGCATGTATTTGAAACAACTAGATATGGAAATCTACTTTTTCAGGTATAAATTTTGCAAACTCTGAATACAATTCCAGTACATTCCATGAAAATTTTGTGTTCAAATTGAGATGTTCTATAAATTTTAAGTATACTTTAGAGTTTGAAGAATTAACTAAAAAGCACAGAATATAAAACATTTCATTAGTAACTTGTTTTCAGGCAGAATCTCTTTCTATGTTCTTGGCTGACCTGGAACTTGTTCTGTGGACCATGGTGGCCTTAAACTAGAGACAACTTCTTGCTTCTGTCTCCTGAGTGCTGGGATTGTATATGTGTACCACTACAACCAGCTCATTAGTAACTTTTTTTTGTTTTTTGGTCTTTTTGAGACAGAGTCTCCCTGTAGCCCCAGCTGTCCTGGAACTCACTATGTAGACGAGGCTGGCCTCAAACTCACAAAGATCCATCTGCCTCTGCCTCCCAAATGCTGGGATTAAAGGTGTGTGCCACCACGCCTGGCTATTAGTAACTTTTATATTAATTATATGTTGAAATGAGAATGTTTGGATGTACCTAGTTAATTAAAATAGATTATTGGCTGAGGAGTGGGGCCTAATGGATATGTTCAATGTTTAATGTATGTGAGGTCCTGGGTTCAATAGCATCCAAGAAAGGATAGATTATTAAATGAATTTTATGGATTTTTCACATTTAAGTGTGGCTACTGGAATATATATGTATGTTAAGTGTTGCCTGCATGTATATAAGTATACCACATGTACATAGGGCCTGTGGAGGCCAGAAGAGCAAGTCAGATTATTGGAACTGGAGTTAACAGGTAGTTGTGAGCTGCCATGTGGGTACTGGAATCTAAACCTGCACCCTCTGCAAAAGCAGCAAGTGTTCCTAACCATTGAGCATTCTCTCTGGCCTCTGTTTTTGTGTGTAGGCACACTTGTGTGAGGGTAAATGTGCATGTGGAGGCCAGAGATCAATGTCCAGTGTCTTCCTCGATTGCCCTCCACCTTCTTTTTGGAGGAGGGGCTCTCCCTGAATCTGGGGCTTTCTGATTAAGCTATACTGGTTGGCCAGCTAATCTCAGGGATCCTCCTGTTTTGACTACCCAGCACTGGGATTACACTCAGCTTTCATGTGGGCACTGGGGATCTTAACTCAGGTCCTCATACTTGCATGGCAAACACTTTATTGACTGAGTTACTTACCCATACCCTGTTTTTGATTTTGTATTTTGAGACAGGGTCTCACATAGTGCCTTTTGACCTTCAAATTGCTATTTAGCTAAGGATGACCTTGAACTCTTCTTAATCTTTCTTCCAGTTGGCTTTCCTTTCGCTTTATTAGAAGGCCTTTTCCAAACATCTTTGCTTCAAGCCTTAATCATCCATCTATGGAGAACATTGCTATGTTTCTTTGAGTTGCATTTGAACCTGATGTTTACTTGAGTTGCATCTTTTTTTTTTCTTTAGCTTGTCAAAGCAGCTCTATAGTATATTTAATGCAGTGAATCATAAAATACCAAATGAACACCATCTTTGTGAGGCACCAACTATGAGAAGGATCATTGAGAAGTAAAAGATGATATTAGAGCTACGGGTGGTAGCCACTCACCTTAAATCCAACAGAGGCAGGAAGAGCTCTGTGAGTTCAAGGCCAGCATTGTCTACAGAGGGAGTTCTAGGCCATTGAGGGCTACATAGTGAGAGACCTGTCTCAAAAAATAAACAAAAATTGGTATTAAAAAGTGGTATCAGTGCCCTAAATAGAGTTCAGCTCAGGAAAGAAATATAGACAATCATTTACATAGAAAACAGGTTATAGTAGCCTAAATACAGTGTTCTGGGAGTGTGAAGAAGAGATTGAATGTTACTGGTTAATTAGCTCTCCGGGAAAGAAACTTACCAAATATTAAGATTTAAAGTTTCAGGAAGAAAGGCCAATTCCAGCAGACAGCATCCTTTAGGAAAAAAGTTGAGAATGTTCAGTAGTGCTACAGCCAAACGGATTTTGTGGTATAATGCCTATCTTTGAAAACCACCTATTAACATTGTAATTTGAAATGTAGCGTATTTTTGTATTTTTTCCAGAATTTAAAAGATTCTTCTCTTCTGGAAAGTGATAAAAAACAGAAAGGTGGACCGAAGGGCAAAGGAAAGAAGAGGAAGAAAGAGGATCTTCAAGAAGTTGATGGAGAAATAGAAGATATTCTGCAAAAGAAAGGTGAGACATGGACAGCAATGGTCGTGTTTGCTTTGGGAGCTCTAAGTTGTTTTGCTTGAGATCTATTTGAGTGCAGAAGTGCTTGCTTAAAAACACTTCTTATCTAATCTTTTCTAACAGAGCTTTAATTATGAGTTTATATAGAATCACTGATCTTTTCACCTCTTTTGTTGTTTACTAGCTAAAGCCAGAGGGCTAGAATTACAGATCTCCAGTGTGAAGTTTGAAGATGTTGGAGGCAGTGATGCAACTTTAAAAGTTAGTGCCAATTTGAGAATTTTACTTGAAATGGATATATTGTTAATCACTTACACAAACAGAGCCTACTTCTTTATTTCTAATGTGAAATGAGTGTAAAAAACAAGACTGGGAAGGCAAGATGGCCAAACCTGACACTTTAGGGTATTGAGAGAGAAAAGAAGTGTACTATCCTTAGTCTTTTCACCTTTATAGTTCTGGTGTGCGTGAGATAAATGCTTCATGAGTAATGTTGTTCTAACAGTGCTAATGATAATGGCTGCTGTTTATTTTTACTTCATTCTGGTTATTTTGATAGTCGCTTACTATATTTTATGAAGTGTTGTGGGGACCCTTGAGCACCCCTTGGGTGGGGGAGAGTTGGCGCAGACACTGGGAGTCAGGTGAGAAGCAGGCAGTGCGAGCAGCTGCAGACTCATTTATTGCGGATACGGGGCTCCCTTATATCCCCCCTCCCGGTGTCCCATTGGTCCAATGATAGGTTGTGTCTGTTCCTCATTGGCTGGCTGTATCAGGCCATTTTCGCGTCAGCCGTCTCTATGTCTTTTGGCAGAACACAGGTTTGCCTCAGCCGGATGTTTTTGGATGCGCTGGTTGTTCAGGCTGCATGTCCTCCTACAATGAAGTAGACATTTTTACAGCTTAGGAAGTAGCAGTGCAGAGATTTTATTGCTGAAGTTACACAGTAGGTATCATAGCTAGAATTCAAGCTCAGGCTTGAGTCTAAAGCCACTGTTCTGTCTGCTCTGTCTTGCTGTTCTAAAAAATAGGACAGTTCATTCTGCTTTGAGTGTTTCTGTCTTGGGCTAAGGAAGACATCTTTTATGCTCATTCCCTGGTAGGAAATCTGCAAGATGCTCATACACATGCGTCACCCAGAAGTGTACCACCATCTAGGTGTAGTGCCCCCTCGTGGAGTTCTCCTACATGGGCCACCAGGCTGTGGGAAGACATTGCTTGCACATGCAATTGCTGGGGTAAGGCTGGTGTTTTGGTTTGTTTTGTTGATGTTATATTTTGGGGGTGGGGTGTCTTGAGATAGAGACTCCATGTAGCCTCAGCTGGCCTGATTCTTGCTATATAGACCAGGCTGTCCTTGATCTCACAGAGATCCACCTGTCTCTGTCTCCCTAGTGCTGGGAGGGCTTTGTTAGTTTTTGGGTTTTTGTTTTTTGGGGTTTCTTTTTTTTTATTATTTTATTTTATGTGTACGAGTATATTGCCAGCATGTATGTGAGTGTGACCGTATCGTGCAGAAGAGGGCTTCAGATTCCCTTGGAACTGGAGTTAAGGATGGTTCATAGCTGCCATGTGGGTGCTGGGAATCAAACCAGGTCCTCTGCAAGAGCAGTCGGTGCTCTTAACTGCTGAGCCAACTTTCCAGCCCCAGTTTTTGTTTTTTTTTAATGAATGTAATTATTGTGTCTAGGTCTGAAGCAAAATAATATAACTATATAACAGCTCTCAGAACATTAAGTGTACATTTTAGTTCTCTTTACCTTTACCCCAGTAGTTCTTAAGAGCAGTAACACATGGAGACTCCGGATAATACTGTTTTTCTTAGAGCTAAATTTAAATTTCCTGTTGTTAAAATGCCCTTCTAAAGCAGTTATGAAAGACTACTTAGTCAGGTGTGATTGTGCATACCTATAATTTCAGCATTTGGAGGGACTAAGGCAGGAAGAATACAGGTTTGAAGGGAGCCAGGGCTACATAGTGCTAACCTTGTATCAACCACAACCCACATAGTGCTACCTTGTATCAACCACACACTACCCATGCCCCTTTTGTAACAAAGACAGTTTCTAAAATGAAAGTTAGCAATCTTATTTGCTCCTTCAAATTTTTCAGAAACTATTTCATGGTAAAATGCAAACTGTCCAAGGAACTTTAACGAGTAGCATATTCTATTAGTAGATTAAGCTCTATGAAAGGAAATTCACTGTTTTTGTTTTGTTTTGTTTTTTGAGATAGGGTCTGAATTTGTAGCCCTGACTGGTCTGAAACTTACAGAGACCCACCTGCGTCTGCCTCCCCAGTGCTGGGATTAAAGGTGTGCACCACCACACCTGGCCATAGTTTTCTTTTTTTTTTATGTAGCTTTAAACTGGTAGTCCGGGCAGCCTTGAGCTTGAAGCAATCCTCTAGTCTCAATTTCCCAAGTGCTGGGATTACAAGTGTGAGTAACCACAACTGGCTGTAAGTCTGAAGGCTTAAGTAGTGTTTTTTTTTATTGGGCTCACCCTCAGAGATGAAGTTCCTTGGGAAATTGATCATTAAAAAAATGTGTTTTGGTAGCCAGGGAGATGACTCAGCGAGGAAAGATGTTTGCTGCCAAGCCTGTTGGTCTGAGCTCCATCCTGAAACTCACATGGTAGAAGGAGAAAGCTGACCTTCACTAATTGTCCTCTGACCTCCATAAATGACTGTTTTTAAAAAATTTTACTTTATGTATATGAATATTTTGCATGTATGTAGGTTTCCCATGTGCATGCAATGCCCTTGGATGCCAGAGGACAGCATCAGTCATCTTGAACTCAAGTTATAGGCAGTTGTTGGTTGCCATGTGTTGCTGGGGACCATACTCCGGTCTTCTTTAAGAGCAGCAAGTGCTCTTAACCACTGAGCCACCTCTCCAACCCTTAAAAAAATTGTAATTTTGATGGAACAGATGGGATAAGAAAAAAGTAGAAAGTTAAACTGTAATAGTTGGTCATTCTTTTATTTGTACACAGGAACTTGATCTGCCAATTCTGAAAGTGGCTGCGCCAGAGATTGTGTCAGGAGTTTCTGGAGAGTCTGAGCAGAAGCTCAGAGATTTATTTGACCAAGCTGTGGTGAGTCTGCTGTCAGCTGTGCCAGCTCATCTTGTGCTACTGCCTTTTACTAAGGATCATGCTTTTTCTAATGCTAGTATTCGTTGCCCCTTTGTTTTGTAAACATGCATAGTAGTTAATATTTAGAGTAGATGTAATGATTCAGACTCTTAGGTAAATAATCTGCTTCCTTGGAAACCAGACATAAAAATATTTAGTGACGAGTTTTAGACTGTCATACCCAATAGTTAAATGTTCAGAATATATTGTCCTTATGATAATTCATTTACTTTTAGTTTGCCTAGCTTAAGTTTGACCAAGAAACTTCTGGACAATATGAAAATTGTCATACTTAGAATTATAAAAGCAACTGTAAGCCGGGCGTGGTGGCACACGCCTGTAGTCCCAGCGCTTGGGAGGCAGAGGCAGGCGGATCTCTGTGAGTTCAAGGCCAGCCTGGTCTACATAGTGAGTTCCAGGACAGCTGGGGCTATAGGAAGACCCTGTCTCAAAAACACCAAAAAAAAAAAAAAAAAAGCAAATGTAAAATGCAAGGGTAAACTCTCTATAATTGAAGGTGTGGAAAGAAGATTTACTAGAGAGAGAAATTATACCTGTTTGTACTTTCTGTTATTAAAATTTGGAAGACGATATTTGGATCCAGTTGAAGTTTTATCTTTAGCATAGTATAGTGATTAAATGTCTACATTTTCATTGATAAAGATGGATTCCAGTCTGGTGCCATCACTTACCATGTTAGAGAAGAGGCACCACTCTGCATCTGGTTCCTAATAGTAAACTGTAATGATAATAATACTCAGATCTCATGGGGTTGTTGTTTAAATGAGAAGTTTTTTTGTTTTTTTTTTTCAGGTGTGGTTGTGCTAAGTTATATGTAGCCTGTCCTTGAACTCCTGGCCAAGCATATCTTCCTGCCTCAGTCTCCCAAGTGCTAGCCAAGAGGTCCTATAAAACCTTTGACATTGTGTCATGCATGCATTAAGAGCCCTATAAATATAAGTCATGACGTTAAGCACACTTGAGCAGACATGAGTTACTGTGATTAAAATTGAAAAGCAATAAAAAGTTTTTGTCTTTCTTTCTCACCTTGAACTTGAGATCTTGCTTTCACTCAAGTACTGACATTGCAGGTGTGTGTCACCACTTTATGTCTTTATTTGCATCCACAGCATGTAAGTGGCTAATAACATGATCAATATAACTGTTAGAAGCTGATGTGAAACTGGCAGAAAAGTTGTATTTTAGCAGCTATAAGAAAAACATTTTAAAAAAGGAAGAATGGAGAGGCCAGCAGTTAGGTTAGCTAGGTAGACTGATAATGAAAACGGCATTGACAGCACCAGGAAGATACAGGGGAAAGGTGAGAAATGCAGTGTGTATTTTTCCAAAATATGCCTTTTCTTTTAACTAATTTGGCACCTATAGCTATAGAATACAAGGCATAAATTCTCTGTTTATAGTAAGCATAATGATGAATATGGATATGAAGATAAATGGCATTTCTAGGTCATTAGTTCTGTTTAAGCCTCTATAAACTAGTACTGAGCAAGTACAATGCTTGACCATAGGTGCTTAGTAATATATGGTATAGCACCCTATTCCCTGGTCACCTCTTCTCTTATCCAAGTGAGCAGATGGTTCTTTTCTAAACCAATAACTTTCCTTAGGCTGAATTCTGATTATTGTTACTTTTCCCTTTGAGTTTTCCAGCTCATTGACAAAAAATAATGTGCTTGTTTTCTGAGACCTTTGTTCTTTGTAATTTCTTTTGTAACTGTTCTAGCAAGTATAAATTGTCTTTTGCAAAACATTGTCGTGAGGAAGATGGGGAAGAGAATCAGTGATCTGTCCCCTTAAAGTGATTTTGAGATGTGTTAACCAAGCTGACTGACTTTTTGTATAATGTCACTGTTTTAGCCATTGAGTAAGAACAACTGAGATTGTAAATCTAGATATCTTTCTTTAAATTTTTAATTTTTAATTAAATCTTTACCTTCCTTTTTTGTAGTAAAATGTGTTGCATAAAATTCACCATTTTAGCCTCTTTCGTTGTTATTTTTGAGGTAGAATCTCACTGTAGTCCAGGCTGACCTATCAAAGCAGTCTTCCTCCTTTAGCCAGTGCTGGGATTACTGGCATGAACCACCACATCTGCTCATTTTATCAGTAGTATTAATTGCATCATGTTATTATATAACCACTATCACTACCCACCTTAGGAACTCTTGATTAACAACTTCCCATTCCTCCCCCTACCCCGAGTCCCTGGCAGCCACCATTCATTACTTCATACCTCAGTGAATTTGACTGTGATAAGTAGCTGATTCTTTTTCTTTTCTTTTTTCTTTTCCTTTTTTAAATGTGTATGAATGTTTTGCCTGCATGTCTGTAAGTGTACCATGTGCATGCAGTGCCCCCAGAGACTAGAAGAGGGCATCAGATCCCCTGGAACTAGAGTTATGGATAATCGTGGGTATTGGAAACCTAACCCAGGTCCTCTTCAAGAACAGCAGGTACTCTAAACGACTGAGCCATTTCTCCAGCCCCAATCCTTCTTAACATTCAGTTCAGACATTAGTATCTAGTTTATTTCTGTACATAAAAAACTAAGATCTAAGACTTCCAAGGTAAGATGGCCCAGTGGTTAAAGGCAGTTGATGCCAAGTCAGGACCTACTTGGTGGAAGGAAAGAACGAACTCCTGTAAATTGTCCTCTGACCTCCATACCACAGGCCCCACACATACACACACTAAAATAAATTAAAAATGACTAAGTAGGTAAATATATAATAAAAGTTTTAAAAAACAAAGATCTGTTCTATGTGCACTGAAATACTGAAACTTGATCACCCTTCCTTATTCTGTGTAGTCTTTGCAAAAAGCCTCTGGCCAGAGTGGTCGAGTGCTCATCTAGCATTGCGTACCTCAGCACACATGTAAGCCTCTGCTACTTTCAGTATGCAGTAATGGGAAAGGTTTGAAGGTAAATAGTAGTGATTATTAGGCAACTTTGTGAACATACTTAATGCCAGTGAATTGTCCACTTAAAAGTGATTAAAATGATAAATTTTACAGAAAAAATTTAAAAAACAAGCTTGTGGTGCTTAAGATCCTCTTACAGCAGATTCAAAAGTTTGGACATATTATAAGAAACACTCATATTTGAATAAACTTGGATTTTCTAATTTGAAGCTTTTTTTTGTCTTTTTGAGACAGTGTCTCCTTGTAGCCCCTGCTGTCCTGGAACAGGCTGGCCTTGAACTCACAAAGATCCGCCTGCCTCTGCCTCCCAAGTGCTAGGATTAAAGGCGTGCGCCACCATGCCTGACTAATTTGAAGCTTTTATTTTTTGGCTTTATGAGACAGGATCTTATGTAGCCCAGTCTAACTTCCAACTAGAAATGTAGGTGAGGATGACCTCAGAAGGTGTTTCACAAACTGCAATGCATTCTCTGGTGTCTTACTCTTCTTTTTTCAGCATCTTGGTTCTCCTGGAACATAACAGGAGTAATGTGAGCTGCCTTCTTCATGGTTATTTCATTGGTGACGAATCCCTTACCTATAAAATTCTAATGAATACATAAACCTTATGCATCAATATAGGGAGTTTATTTATAGTCATCTCTTCGTGATATCTTTATTTCTAGTCAAATGCACCCTGTATTGTTTTCATTGATGAAATTGATGCTATTACCCCCAAAAGAGAAGTTGCTTCAAAAGATATGGAAAGAAGAATTGTAGCCCAGCTCCTAACCTGCATGGATGGTCAGTTTAACATAATTTGTTTTTAAGATAATTTAAGTCATACATGAATATATAGAACATTTGAATAGTGAGTGACTATCATAAAATGAGATGTATGTGTGTGTGTGTGTGTGTGTGTGTGTGTGTGTGTGTGTGTGTGAAAAAGATCCCATTCATTTGGAAGTGTATCTTTATGGTTTTGTGTGTGTATTTATATGTATGTGAGCATTGTGTGGGTGCACACATGTGTGCAGGTGTGCATGCATATGTGTGTACGTGAATGTGGAGTTTAGAGGTCAGGAGCTGTTATTAGTTGAGTTGGCCTGGTGCTCACCAAGTAGGCTCGGCTGGCTGGCCAGTGTGCCCCAGGGATTTGCCTGTCTCCACCTCTCCAGCACTGGAATTATTGGGTGCCACCTTGCTGGAATTTTTACATGGGTTTTGGGGATTAAACTCAGGTCCTTATATTTGTGCAGCAAACATTTCAATGACTGGGCCATCATCCCAACCCTGTAGTTATTTTTAATGCTTATATACACATATACTAATATTGTCCTTTACAATTCTGGGATTGTACAATACAGTGTTCTGTAATGTATTGTTTGTCCCTTAAGGCTATCCTTGTCTTGGAAAGGTTGACATTTTAATGCATTATATTTACCACTTTTTTTTTTCTTTTAATTTTATGTGTATAAGTGTATTGTCTGCATGTAGGTAAGTACACCCATGTCATGCAATGCCTGCAGAGGTCAGAAGAGGCTTTCGGATACCCTGGGACTGGAGTTACAGACAGTTGATAGCTGCCGTGTGGGTGCTGGGATTCGAACCTGGATCTTCCAGCCCCGTTTTTACCACTTTTTAACTGTTAATAGTATTCTTTAGATTTACTGTTTTGTATTTAAGCATTCTCACCAGTGATAGATACTTAAGTTTGTTTGTTTTTCTTTACAATTACCTTTAGGAAGTATCTTTAAAGGGGCCTGTTTAGAGTATATGTCTTTTGTAATAAATACTAGAAATGAAATTGATGATTGAAGATTATACATTTTAAATCTTCATGGGAAATGAAATGACTAATAGCTTTCCATGAAGATTTCCTTTTTTGATGGAGAGGATGGGGATTGTAGGTGTATGCCACTATGCCCAACCAAAAGTTATTTCAGTTATCTAAGCTTTTACTAACCTACTTTTGAAAATTGATGATCATTTTTAATTTGCTTTTCCCTGATTTCTACTGAGATTGCATCTTTCCATATTTATTTCTCTGTTTGTATCATCTCCAAAATCCATTTTCTTACTCTTAGCCCATTTATTGACTTATCTTTTCATTTGTTTATTTAAAAAAAAATTTTTTTATGTATATGAATGTTTTGCTTGCATGTATGTAAGTGCACCACCCACATGTGTGCAGTGCCTATGGAGGTCAAAGAAGACATTTGGATTCCCCTGGAACTGGCGTCACAGACAGTTGTGAGCCACCATGTGGGTGCTGGGGACCAAATCCAGGTCCTCTGTAAGAACAGCCAGTGTTCTTAACCTCTGAGCCATCTCTCCAGCCCCATGAATTGTCTTTTTAAACTTGATTTGGAACTAGGTTCATAGCTCAGTGGTAGAGTGATTACCTATCATGTATGATCCCTAGCAAAAAAAAATCCAATTGATTTGAAGTAGTAATTTTTAAAAATAGGGAAACAATTTCTTGTTAATATATTTTGATTATTTTCTTCCTATCTGTAAGTTGTTTTTCACATTTGTTTGATGATTTAGATATAGATTCAGAGAGATAAAGCCATAACTTTTAGAACTAGATTCTTTCTACTTTGAAATACCATATGTTGCTGGGCACACCTGTAATCCTTGCACTTGAGAGATCAGAAGACTGCCCCAAGTTCAAGGCCAACCTGGGCTACAGAGTTCAGGAGACTTTCAGAAACAAACTAGAAAAGAAATCACATTTTATGTGTACAAGAACATTTTAAGCTGGATTTGGTGGCTCTTGCTGTACATTATAATCCCAGTACATAGGAGGATGAGGTAAGAGGATTGCCATGAGTTGTAGGCCACCCTGGGGTACAGAACAAACATCAAAACAAACATTAAAATTTTTGTTTATGTGTTTTGCCTGAATTTATGTGAAGTGCATCCATTAATACAGTGTATTTGGAGGTCAGAGGAAGCCATAGGATCCCTTGGAACTGGAGCTGTCATGTGGGTGCTGGGAACCGAACCTGGGTCCTCTGCAAGAACAGCTAGTACTCTTAGTCTCTGAGCCATCTCTCCAGCCCCAAGTCTTCCTTTTTCCTCAGCTGAAATACATAATGCCTTCCCTTGTCTTTCCACCTTACTTGTTTTGTTCTGATTGTAATTAAACGTCTCAAAATTTGTCTTATGCAGTGTTTCCTTAATTATACAGTTTAATATTCCTCAATAGATCATGAATTGCTGAGAGAAAGTTAGTATTAATCTTCATATATCTTTTTAAATGTATGCCATGTCCCTAGGAGTCAGAAAAGGGTGTCAGATCCCCTAGAGGTAGAATTAGGGGTGGGTGTGAGCTACCTGGCATCCATGCTGGGAATTGAAGTCTGGTTCTTGGCAAGAGCAGCAAATGTACCTAACCAGTGAGCCATCTCCAGCACCCACACTTTTTATATGCTGAACATTTTAATGCTTATATTTATTTGTCTATCAAAATATGTAATAATTTCTAATGTTTAAATGATTTATGTAAGCATTATTGTCCTCAGGTGGCTTGTTCAATACTCCCTTGTGTCTGGTTCTTACTAGATCTAAATAACGGGGCAACTACAGCTCGAGTCCTGGTCATTGGAGCTACTAATCGACCAGACTCACTGGATCCTGCTTTGAGACGTGCAGGAAGGTTTGACCGAGAAATATGCCTAGGTATCCCAGATGAAGCATCCAGAGAAAGGTATATTCTTTTTTTTTTTTTTTCCCTTCTTTTTGAGGCAGGGTCTCCCTATGTATCCCTTACTGTCCTAGAACTCACTGTGTAGATCAGACCTTGAACTCAGATCCTCCTGCCTCTGCCTCCTGATTGCTGGGATTAAAGGCATAAGCCACTATGCCTGGTGACAGGTATATTCTTTCTTTTTTTTTTTTTTTGCCTTC